TGTTGGAGGCACGTGCGGTTGCAGATCCCTGTCCGCATGAGGCACACGGAGGGTCAATGGCTCTCGTTCTGTTCTTGCCAGCCTTGGGGGTGGTAGGACCGGACTGCCTGCAACCAGTGGGAGCGGGAAATGCTGAAGGCGAAGGCGAGGGCTAAGGGCTAGGCAAGGGGTCTTGCATCCCGTCCGAGGTCTCGAGCTTCAACTCTCGTTGGAGGTCGTCTACCTGGCAACTTGCGCAGCAGTATCACGCCGCCCCAGCATGCATGGCTTCCGAGTGTGCGCAGCACGAAGGACCTTTGCTCCGACCACGCTGTTGCGCCAGGAGTGCTGTGCAGAGGCGACATTTCGCCATCAGCGTGGCAAAGCTATGTACAAAAGGTGAGGTCTGCACGTGCTCACCACAAGCGTTTTTTCGGCATGTGAACCAGCAGTCAGCTCACTGCGAGCACTTCAGACCTGGCACTGGCAGGGCTGGCCACTGTGACCAGCTGGGCTGTAGCACGCACCTCGTCTTTCCATGTTTCGAAGAAACTTTTGGCCAAGGCTTCAGTCTCCTTGGAATTAATCGGTTCGAGTCATAGAACCTCTCAACGGTGGCGTCCTTCTCCGGGATGATCCGGATGTTCTTCGCGCCCGTGGCCATTCCCGTGAGGGTTAAGGCGTCCTGCCGTGCGAACTCTCTTGCCTCTTGCACACATAGCCCAACACAGAAGCACCAACAAGCAAGGCTTGGAAACTGCCTGAACCTGCTGCTGAACATCCTGGCCGCATACCTGCAGCCCATGAGCGGTCACACAGCTATATGACAGACATGTCTGGTTTGCCGTCTGCCGGACACGGGCGCCTGGATGCCCGTCATCTCCTGGCCCTTGCATTTTGAGGCCAACTTCGGCTCTTTGGCCCAAGCAAAAAACGTCTTCAGCTGCTCTTCCTGGGAGCCATGGCATCTGATGATCTCATCGCGTCTGGGCTCTGGGGTCCTGCAGCACCATGGACCTTGCCCGGCAGATCGCCCACTTCGCTGTTGCCTTCGAAAGGAAAGCCTGCCAAGTTCTCTGCAGCCGACGCAACTGTGACGAGCTCGCATGCCTCGACGAGGGTCTCTGAATCCGGAAGAAAAACAACGAAGCAGGTCTCCTTCCGAGGGCTACTCTCGTCTGGCTTCAACCTTTGCTGTGCGACATCCCGAGAGTCATTGCCACTCCTTCGTCGGCCATGGCCGGCTGCCCAAAGTAATGGGCACCACACCTCTCAGGCCGTGCTGCTTTGTTGCTTGAGGCAGAGTAACTGAGTAGCTTCGATTGGTGATTTGCACAAGCCCACGTGAACCCTAGCCATAACTCCAAACCGTAAACCTAGAAACTTAAAAACCAAAAGGCCCTAGACCTAAAGACTTGGTGCCTCCCTGCCGACACACTCCAAATCACCAAATCCCTAAACTCCAAAATCGTAACCCCGACACCCTAAACACCGAAACCTGCAACACTGAAGCTTTAAACTTGCCCTAAACCCTGCTGCCCCCTTTAGTCGTGTGGTGCTTGCGTCAATCGGGCGCTTGAATCATGTGTGCTTGATGCTCCTATGGGGGCCAGTGCTGGATTTGGTGGCTTTACACACAAAGAGCAGATTCCCTCTAATTTTTTTTACTTATAACTCAGAAGATTCGGAAGGCCCCGTCCCTGGCAAGAGGTGATTGCTGTATCGAGGCTGGTTACGCCCTCAAGCCGTCTGAACCGATTATAGTAGTGTAGTATAGTATAGTATAAGTATATTATATTACAGTACATGATATTATATATATTATATAGACTTCACGGAGATGCTGCAAGGGCACGCTCGTTCTCGAGCTCCTGTTCAGCGGGCCGCACGGGCCAGGGAGAGGGGCGTTGTGAAATGGGTACGTTGGGATGCCGGCTGCAGCCTCTCAAACCATAGATGCTGAATAAAGAACCACGCGCGGCACTGAGATTGGCAAGCTCTTGATAGTCTTGAAGATGACCAAACCGCAAGACTTCCAAGAGCTTCGTTGGAGACTCCAGAGCCACTCCTCGGGGGTCACCACCGCAGCACAGGCCTCGAGCCGGAGGAGGCTGCTCGCCTCCTGGGCTGAGTATGGATGCAAGTCAGAAGTGAAAAGACGATGCGCTGGGATGAGTCCAAGTGTCGTCCTGATTCAAGAGCCCCCAGTTAGGCTTGTCTTCGTTCTTGTTGAAGTCCTGCAGCTTCTGTTTCAGTGGCCCCGCTGCGCCCAGGTGCTGTGCTGAGAACGCGACATAGACCATCCACCACTTGTTGTTCCAGGGTTTCAGTCCAGCCCGCGCCATTTGGCCGCGCAGAGAAAAATAGTTGAAGTCAAAGCAAGCGAATTGCATGTTTTGGCTGCTTTCGATGATTGGCTCTGTCCCACAGTACAGCGAGAGTTTGCAGTCCTCGGCTGTGCCGATGCAGATAACATGGCACATTGTCAGGAACCTTGTGGCTACTGCACAGGCCCATCGACTCAGTCACGCCGCTTGACAATCTCTGCAGCGATACTGTTGACCTTTCAAAAATGAAAGCAGTTGCAGGAAGCCAGCAGTAAGCTCCTTAAACCTCAGGCTTGGTGAAACGATGTCGTGGCAAAGAACAGGTGACTCAGGCTCCAGCAGGCAATCACAAAGCCTGAGAAACAAAAGGAGGTGACAGTGCAACTTTCAAGTTGAGATCTGCGGTGGAAACATCTAGTTCAGAGCAGCCACTGCAGTTGGTGCAGTTGCGGATGAAGACACTCGTCTCCACCGGGCCGATAAAGACTCGGCCTAGAAGCAGAGGTCGTGGTTTTGAGAAAGCGGTCACTGCCGCTCTCGCATTTGTCACAGTTGGTGGAGAGTTTGCTTGAATGGCTTGCGATGCAAGCCTCCTCTGCAGCTAAACCGTTCCTGGGTGCCTCGATACAGCTCGCAGCAGCGAAAACTGAGGTTCAGGCAGTTGTGGCAATCGTCAACAAAGCTCGTGGCAATTGTGTCCTGGTGCTGCTGACATTGACGAAGCAGGCTGTCCAGCAACATGAGGCCAAAGCTACTCTATTTGTGTTCCATGCTAAAGTAGCGAAGGAGCAAGAAGAAAGATGTCACAGTTCTTGCCTTAGCCGCAGACACATTCAAACCCCATCTAACCATGCCCCCGACGAGGGCCGTAAAAAGTCCAATCCAGTTATGATAAGAGTGCAGAGGCCACGTCGTATCTCGTCTCAGTCTTGCCTGCTCCGATGCTGCCTCGGCACATTCCTCAAGGTTGAATTGCTCCCCATCGATACTGCCCTCCTGCAGGTGCAGATGCTGACTGCTTCCTAAAAACCATCTTCACACAGCATGACCATGCATAATCATAATCACATAACTGAGAAGACACAAGGGAAAACACTGTCGGGCCCTTTTTGGGCAGAAGGGGCCATGCTACAGTATCGGCCCTTGGTTGCGAGGACAGGCAGATTAACGTGGGTAGCAACCCGTTGGGGCACCAACGTTGCGAGACAGCCTGACTTGCAAGAGGGTCGGAGAAGGAGATGAAAACAAAGTCTGGCATCAACGATCAAGGCCGGGCATGTCGGGGGAAGCGGAGTGAGGGAGGAAGGGAGGGAGGGAGGGAGGATTGGAAGTGCTCGGTTGGATCTAAGGCTTAAGGGAGAGGGAGAGGGAGGGGGAGACTACTGAGACGACGACAACGACTACTACTACCACCACCACTACTACCGCATCATGTCCAGCCTTCCTGATGAGGACGGCATCCGTTTGCTTGGAGAAAACATAGTCCTCAGACGAGACGAGTCAGCGTGACCTACACCTTCAAACTCACGAAGCAGGAATGACTGCGCTTGCGACGGGAAAGACGATGGAGACCAGCAACACGATGACGACGACATGTTACTGCCGGTTATTGATCGTTTAGGCTATTGCCTTTTGTGTTCCCATTGATGCCGTTGAGACGGCGACGCGCCCACGACGACTACGCAAGGGTAAGACCACAACTACTTACACCTAGCACCACTTAGTACTGATACGAGCAGAGTTGTGTCGCACTTATTCTCCACGAGGGGACGGGCTGAGAGCAGATCGGCTGGATTGAGGTTTTTCTTCTTCACCTTGCTTGGCTTCGCCTTGGGCTTCGCGGTGCTGCCTCGCCAGACAGCGACAGTCATTAGCACACACACACACACTTGCCATCAGTAGTAGTCATGTTCTAGCAGATGCCTTTTGAAGATTTCGAGTCGCAACCGCCCATCTTGGGCACTTGCCGAAGGCTGTAGTCTGCTGTTAGGTACGGTAGAACGCTCAGATGTTGCTTGAAATCGGCGACACAAGTACCCAGCTTAAATGAATAGTCCATGCACAACGTCTCCGCTTACACTTTATCTGCACTGCAAGCCAAAAGGCTGGGAACATTCGGTGCAGGATTCAAGCGAGGGGGCATGGTTCCAACAAGGCAGACGCTCTTAGCCAGACTGGCAACGAGGGGCACCCTTTTCCAGTGAAGTTGTGCTTCCCAGGCATTGACGAAACCAGCCAAACATAACGACGAAATTGGACTTCTTCAGCAGTGTTCGGTGATCCGACTGTGATGTCGCATGTTGAAGCTACGACAAAGCGTTGAATTGAGTCGTCACAGACGTATCGGACGTGCAGTGCTGAACTTGCAGAAGCACAGCACATCTGCCAATTGAATATTTCAGGTGCGCAGCGCTTTCGTCCGTCGGTTTCCAAACTCGTCCGAAGCGACTCCATTTTGGCATGTACGACTGTGTCTTGGAACGCTGTGGCAGCAGTCAGCAGGAGATCCAGTCATTTCCGACTGCTACGGGTCTCGGGGAAGTTGTTTGGGTCTCAGTGGCTCGTCTACCCAGCAGAGATGCAGAATTGATTTGGAGCAGTCGCAGCTCCGGCAGCTCGCAACAAGCCAAATGTAGTCGAACATCATGCGCGAGAACGACTGGCATTGGAATTCAACCGTCTTCCACACCAGCATCACCCCACGAGATACCTCTTCAGGTTGCTTCGACCGGAAGGGACGAACTCCACCACAGCCATGGCTGCACCAGTCGGTCTCGGCGTCCTTTTGCTCAGCTTCTTTGGCAAAGGCCGTGGAGTGTAAGAGCCATCAGTCGCTGGATGTAGCCAGATGCGAGAGTCTAGCCACTGCTTTGCGTCTTTGGGCTCTTTGCGACGGGCGCACGCGATGGTCCATTTGTTTATCAGCAGTTCATTCTGCTGGAAGCCCCGCTTCTCCAAGCCTCGAAGCAGCTCTGGTCTCGAAAGGAGAGCCCGCTCCCAGCTTGCAACGAAAGTTGCACGCCATGCACACTCAAAATATACATCAACAAGGGCAATCAGATCGCCTAAGCGGATGCGATTGGTGTTGGTGTAATTAAACACCCAGCTGGACGGCTCCAAATGCTTCCAGAACACTACACCATTTTCCGCGATGTTCTTGGTGTTGTGATCCTCTGGGTAGCGGGGTTTCTGGTGATGGCCGTCAAAGCCGTAATAGTTATGATGCTTCAGGGCGAGCAGCTGCCCCGGCTCCGTCCACTCAAAGATGCCCTCGATGACCTGCCGGTTGTCCGGCAAGTGCTCGGTCACCAGCCAGAGCGTAGCAACATCGAAGCTGCCAGGCTTGATCAGTCCGGTGGGCCGCAGCGTTGCAAATGTACCAGGCAGCAACACAATCTGGCCTCGGCGGCAGGGACTCGCTGTGGCTTCATCTACATAAGCATAGACTCTCAGACTCAACATGATAAATTATCTTCAGATCCAAAGCTCCTGAAAAGGCTTGCATCATCTCAATGCCGGTGAAGGGGAACTCCCGATATTTCTTGAACATGAGATGACTGCACCTCTGGAACATTTCACACTTCTCGCCTTTCCCTTCGCAAGCCTCAGAATCTTTGAGCATTTGACACTCGATGGGGTTGGGAGCTCGACCAACTCGCTTGTCTCGTGTCAGAGCATGGTGATTGATGCACAGAGCTGGATCCATCCCTTTGTACGACTTCACGCCAACATGTACGGCGACGACGCCCATGGGCCCTTGCCCCATCCCAATGTCCAGAAGATGGAGACCTTTGAAGGGTCGGTAGCTGTAAGCTTGCTGATCATACCCCCATTCCCGCGTGGCTTTCCAGATCTTGGACTTCAGCTCTGCCGCCGCTTGGACGGGAAGACTTGGTGGAATCATAGGCCCGGCGCAAGCAAGCGACGTGGTCTCCAGCTCTGAGGGAACGGATGGTACGGGATCTTGCTCCTCCTTCTGATTCTCCTCAATGTCGGGCTTCTCTTCCGGCTGGTCCTCTAAGTCCTGCAGCGTCTGCGATGCCTCGTCCTGCTTCGCATCAAAGTCTGAACCCGGCAGTGTCGGGAAACCAGCTTCCTCCGGCACCAGCTCCGCCTCTTGCTTAGCCTCCAGATCGGCCTCAAGCTGGTCTTCGAGATCCACAGTCCTTTTTGCATCTCCCGTCTCTCCCGACGAGGCTGAACCCCCAGCATCCAGAAAGGACACGCTGTAGAGACCGTACAGTCCCAGCACAAGGATCAGAAAGAGCGCCCAACGTTGTGTGGCCATGTCGGAGGCCTGAGCTTCCCCTCATGTCCTAGAGATGAAGATCGTGACGGGCTGTGGCTGGGCTCTGTGCCAGGCGTCACAACATGATGCTTGTGCGTCGAACAGAATCAGAAACTAATCCCCCTTCTTTCCAGCTCGCTGAACCCGAGAGGCAGCTAGCATAAGTCTGCGATCATGACCTGCGCTCTCGTGCCCTCCTGCCTATCTGCCTTACAGGCACCTACATACGCTCCCCGGGGGGCGACACTACACAGATGGCATCCGTGAATTCATACATCGATACATAGCAAATACATACACACATTCCTAGAGGCCTTACAGACACACGCGCACAAACACACACACACACACACACATGCATGCACACACACACACACACATCCATGCATGCATGCATGCATGCATACGTGAATGCATACACAACTGCGTACATATATGCCTGCATTCACACCTACATATATACCTACCTACCTACTTACCTACCTACCTACCTACCTACCTACCTTACCTACCTACCTACCTACATAAATGTTACATAAATACACACGCCCATACAGAGGGGCAAAAGGCAGACATGCCTACATGAGTGCGAGCACACCCGCACACATGCAGACTTTTTATCATGCACATACAAGGCGGGAGCATACACCCACACACCTAAACCAAAGCAGCTTCTGCCCACAGCCACATCCGAACCACTCCTCTCCATGCATTTAAACATGCACTCCGCACCCGCCCCCTTGCGGAGACTTCCTCGTGAAGCTTCCAGTTCAACGCCTGTCAGCAACGTAATTCTTGAATTAGGATCATGGCCAGGTTGGATCTTAGTCAGCCGTTGACCGACCCATAGGGCATAGCAAGTTTCGGCGCATGATGCTAGTTGTTGGAAAGAATCTGAGCTTTGGAGCCATAGTTTAGTGGTGACACAAACACAGACACACACACACACACCCGCGCACACACACACACACGGGCACGGCTGGCATGTCGAGAACTGACTCGGTGCAGGAGTCCTAGCAATCATGTACCTTTCGATACAGGGCCTGCAGATGTGACAGATCGTGAACGCAAAGGAACGCTGAAAGAACAGATCGCAAAGCCGAAGGCCTCCTCGAGGGATCGCCTCTTATCCAGAAGCTTCTGAACCTCCTTGAGACAGGGAGCAGCATGGCCAAGATCAGGACAGTGTCAGACTGCATGCTAAAATTTCAGAGATCTTCATGATTCTTCATGTCTACTTCGGCCTATGAAGCTCTGGCAGCTCCCCAGGGCCAACCATGACAGCCAGTGGCGGAGAGAGCCAGGACACGGGTTCGTCGAGGTAGCTTGATGCCACGGCTCGAGGTGCGATGGAACATGGCCGTTACCACGCTAGCATGATTGCCATCATAGTACTACTGCTACTACTCCTCCTACTCCTACTACTCCTACTATTCCTACTGTTCCTACTAAGGTCCTACTACTCCTATTCCTTCTCCTACTGAAGGCGTGAAGAATAGCAAGCCAGCATTCTCCAGTTTTGGTGCACGCTGACGTGGGAAAACAGGGGCCATCCTGATAGTTGCATGCAACAGCACTCCTCTCCTGCTCCCGTCAGTACTGCTACTGCTACCTACTGCCGCTGCGACGACGACGACGACAACCACCACTGCTGCTACTACTGCTGCCACTACTACTACTACTACTACTACTACTACTACTACTACTACCACCGCCACTGCTACTGCCATGGCGACGACGACCTTTACCAATAATGGACAGAAGCCCAAGAGCATTGGCCTGCTGTCGCAGTGGAGAGGTTGTTGATAGCTGCCGGTGCTCCTTAGGCAGAACGATGCCCGAACGATCAGGTCATCTCCTTGCCACTGAAACTTCGCTTCTTATCCATGGCAGCGCTCTAAAAACCCGACACACTGTACACGGCACACCTGGCAGCCCGATGCACGTCTTGCTGCCGTACTGATTCAGGCTGCGTACAGGTTTCACCTATACGATCACATCGGAAAGGAAAACACAGTCAGCATTAATCCCATCTCCTCGATCCCCGGACCCTTCAAGACATGACCCACTGAAGTTCAGAGCACCACACATTCCTTCGGGGGTTGGTTTTCAAGGTCGAAGATCTTGTGGCCATAACGGAGTGCCCCTGATAGCATTTTCACCGAGCTCCAGGCGAGCTCCTTCTGGATATGGCCTTGTGGAGCAAGTATCGTAGTGTGTTTGAATAATTAAGGTCTCTTAGGGTGCCGTATGAAGAGTAGAAGTATCTTGGGCTCCCCCAAAGGGCCATGGTTTGGACAGGTACCCGCATGTGTAACCTGTAGAAAACTATTCCACAAATCGGTTCACGGAGTCTCGTAGCACGGACAGGTAAGAGCACGCACTCCATAGTGCCGAACGAGTTTCAGACTCTGCGAGGCTACCAGGCTTGAACTGCACAAAGTTCTGAAAGCTTTGGGCCTAGGGCCTGGGGCCTGGGGTACGGCTGGTGCCGTCTGTTAGTTGAAGGATTGCAAAGACAACTTCAGGTGCTGTCGCTGTGCTCAACTGAGATGAAAGCGCTTCTGCTGATTCAGCTGCCGAATTTCCAGCAGAGTCTGTTGAAGGGCCTGCAACAGGATGGAGAATTTGTTTGAGGAATTCGGCAAGTTCTGAATGGCAATCGGAGACTCATGCAGGTGTCTGATTATCTGCTGCCTTTTGACTGTTCCGCAAGCTGAGCCGCAACGTCGGCACCCGAAGCCTCGGCTGTCATCGACGACATGCTCCCTGCAACAGCTCGGGAGTGCTGAGAAGTCGACATCTCACTGCCTGATCTTTGCAGGCTTCCTCCATCCTCGCAGCAAACACCCGAAGCACCGGCATGTCTCCGAAACCACGCCGCAAACAAGCTCCTGCCGCGAAGACAATCTGGTTTGACCACAGCCTGCGAGTCGCGCAAACACCCGAGGTGCGAATGCTTGCCTGCGTTCTCAAGCCTCGACTTAGCTCTCGTCAAATAACCTCTATTAGGTAGGGTCAACTTAGCATGACCCAGATGCATGAACCACTTTGGCCTCGGCGTGCAGTGTTTGGCCTTGCAGCTGCGGCAGAGCATGCAACTTACACACATATGCAGATCGAGCGATCAAACAATTGCTGAACAGTTGAACTGCTTCCCGCGTCACTGAAGTGTTCCAGTTCATGATTTAAAAAAGCTCCTGCTTCTGCTTGGACCAGAGAACTGCAAATAGATTTGTTAGGGAACAGAAGGAGGCAGAGAGATAGAGCGCCCGCGAAAGAAAGAGCCAAGAAGACAGCGAGGCAGAGGCGTGCAAGAACAGAGCTTGTTAGGCAAAAGCATCGACGCGTGACTCTATGATTGTGCAGGATTTGCGCAGACAAAATGAACTCCAAGACCCTAAAACCATTGGGCCAACCATAGGGATGCACCCCGAACACTCTCTGAAATCTCTTATCTCAGAGCCGCGTGCTTTTACAAAGCTGTGATGGCTTGGGAGAGTTCTAGCAGGAGTAGCGACGGGGCCAAGAAATGGCCGCATCGAAAGCACTCAGATGTAAGGCTCCGGGAAACAGGCGCAGGCGGCTGCAGCGCTTTCGCTTCGATGGCCTGCACTGCCATCATCTGCCGTCTGGCATCTGTCAGTTTCGAGGAGAAGCGTTCCTCGTCTGGCAGTGACGGCAGAGGCTGCAACCTCAGCTCATCGATTCTCGGACTCTCGGACTCTCAGACAGAGGGACGAGGCCAGAACCGGCTGGTTCTCGGTGCCCGCTCCTGAGCCACCTCGAGCCTCCGCAGCACCCCAACTTACAACGGCAGGCTACGCAAAGCTGCTTCCGTGGTGTCGTCAGCCGGAGGAGCCACATGCACAAAGAGGACTCCGTGAAGCGGACAGATGCTGAAAGCTTTAACCACACATGGTGACACGACCGAATCTCCTCGCAGGTGAAACTTGAGGAGCACCAACTAGGCTGCTTGGCAGTTTGTTGGGCTGGTTTTTGACAACTTCAATACGGGTTTAGTCGCAGAACCCAGCCTTCGGGCGGAGCCGCGGGGTCCTTGGCACCGAGATTCTGGCCCAGGTTCAGGAGCGGCTTCCTCTCCTTCTCCTTCAAGAGCTCCGGCCTTCGGATCCCCAGCTCCGTGGCCGCCGGCGTGCAGCGCAGCAGCAGGTCGGCGCCCCGGGGCCCGAAGGGCTGGATGGTCTCGAGCACGTCAGCGCTTCGAATCGGATTCTCAGAGAGGACCAGGCATCGAAGCTCCGAGAGCTTCCGGAGGAAGAAGCTCGGGCCCGAGATGCTTCCATCCTCGCTGGGCCTCTCTTCCAGCTCGTCGACTAAAGGAATGGAGGCCCGGCGCTGGCGACCCTGGAACTCGGTGTTTTGGGCCTGGGCCTTTTCTTTGGCATCCGCCAGAGATTTCGCCTGTGCCTGCTGCTTTGTGATCCGGTCCTTCGCTGCCGCCAGCTCCGTGTCCTCTCGAAGCTGCACGGGCTTGAAGGGCTGGCACAAGGCTTGCAGGCCGAGATCCGTGATGCGGTTGCGGCCTAAGCCCAGATACTCTAAGCCTCGGTAGGCATCCAGGGCATTTGCCAAGAGCTCGGCCCCGCGATCGCAAATGCGATTCTCCCACCTGCAGTCCAAGCACAAGCAGGCAAAGACCGAGAATGAAGCACAGGATAACCGGGCTACTTAAGCACAGGGATTACTTTTGATTCTTAAGCCGTCTGCTTTCCGTTGCTCCAAGGCACAAGTTTAGTGCCCTGAGCTGCCAGGGGCACTTCGAGAGGGTGGCACACACAGGCCCCAGTTCGAATCGCGTGATGGAGCATGCCCGAAAGCTCACCTTGGCAAGGCATGGCAAGGCTCAAGTCTCACCGGGTTTCAAAGCAACGGCACCTTTGGCAGCTTGCTTTGCTGGAACTGCTACAGTACACCCTTCGTCGGCTCTTGATGCTTCGAGCAGAGGGGGTCCGGGCGTCAAAGTCGAAACTATCCGAAGATGCGAGTAACTGGCAATCGAAGGCACAGATTCCAGCACCGTGCTGGGCTGCAGGAAGGCTGCGAGGCTCAGCCCCAAAGCATCCTCTTCAGCTTCGGTGTCCTCGTCCTCGGTGTCGGGAAGGCTCTCCAATGCCTCCTCGCGGCTTGCGGGGTGCTCGGAGCACCCTACCTTGAAGATTCTTAGCGCCCCAATATGCCTCTTTAGGTGTGTTTTTTAAAACACGAAGCTCTCTAGACTCAAGAGGGGTCCTTCAGGACCTGGAGTGTGACGAGGCCACCACCGTCTGCACCGTAGTCTGGGCCATCGAGGACCTCGAAGACCTCAAAGACCTGGGAGCCGCTGACCCCGAGCCTCTCGAAGAGGAGCGAGTGGAAGTCTGGGGCTTCCAGCGGCAGATGCTCTTTCGGCAAATTCTCCCAGGCCTTCTCCAAGCTGCCGAAACGGCTCAGAAGCCACTCCTTGAAGTTCGTCAAAAGCCTCTCGGACTGCAAGGTGTAGCGTTTCCGCTCCCGTGCCTCCAAGAGGCTTGAGGCCCGATCGAAGGCGGAGGTCTCTTCGCCCTCCTCCCCCTCCAAGGGCAAATCCTCCTCTGCCAAGGTCGGCAGGGGCAGATCCAAGTTATTCCACTCGATCTGCAGGGACTCCACTGAGCAATTGCCTTCCGCGAGGCCCTGAGCCAGCAATCTGAGCATCTCGCAATCCAAGTTGCAATCCGAGAAGGACAGAACCTTGATGTTCTGCACCGTCGGCAGCAGAAGGCCAATCAGGCTGATGGTGGTCCGATCGAAAAGGAAAGACTTCACCATCAGGTTTGGGCCCTCTTTCGGCGGCTTGGGCTCCTCATGGAATCCCATAGACATACCCCCCAAGCCACCGAGCAAGGCCGACATGTCCGGTGCCTTCACGAGCATGCTGGGCCGCCGCCTGTCTTGGTGCGAGGAGGGCAGCTGGGACTTGCTTGGGCTGCCTTCTCGAGCTCTCTTCATTCGGAAAGCAGGGTGCACTGCAGCGTTTACCGTGGAGCACAGTTTCCGCAGGTCCACTCCCAGCATTCCAGTTGGCTCGAAGCCGGAAGGTAGCTCACCAGGGACGTCTAAGTGGTCGTTGATGCCATACACCCAGATCGGAGGCCAGATCTTGGGCTCAGCCTCGTCTGAGAAGTGCGCCCTCGTCATGGCTCCGAAGCTGCCCCCGCGTGGCCCCCGTGTGGCTGATCCAAGCGCTGCACATCGAGCCCACGAGAGTCAGATCGGCCATCTACGCTGCAGAAGCTGGTGTCTAGTCTATTTCAGAAGCAGGATGCGCTGGCAAGCAAAACTCATGCAACCTGCCCGCCTTGGCACCGCGGAGGCTCCTACAGAAACGGGCAGCGCTCAACATCAACAGGGCTCCTGGAGGCCATGACGGGTCCTGGTGCCAGCACACGCCAAGACTGCGCACTTTGGGTAAGCGAGGGCGGCAGCGAGGGCGGTGTGCTGCTCATGCTGTCGCCGGCGCTCCATCTGGCATGGGCTCTGATTTCTACTTCTCCACGCTGCTTGGTCGTCACTCGCGGCGTCACTGCATCCCTCCCTCAGTATCCTCATTACCTCATTCCCGCTGCGACCAGATTCATGGCCTCAGAGCAACGCTGCTGCTGGTCCCTTGGGTGCTGCGTGACAATCGGCGCTCAAGCGTCGGCGACATGGCCATCTGCTGAGCATTCCGGCATGAGCTCACGACGGTTTACCGACGGGGCTACCCGGCTACCCGCTGCCTCGTGCGAGGGGGTAAGTCCTGGTGGGGGGGTTAGCACCAATGGCTGCAGAGCCCAAGACCTCGCCTGTGGTTCAGTAGGAATAGCTACTGGAGTTGCTGAGGCATGCTCTGCTTTGCAAGGATGTTCCCCGCTTCATATGGGGATCCTCAACAGTCGATAAGACAGCTTGCAAGCAAGAATTGGCCACAAAGGACTCGAGAAGCTTGTCAAAGTTTCTGGTGACAGTCCACGGAATGAAGCGAGGTGCTCGAGGTCTTTGCAACCTTTTTAGTCGACTGGATCGGCGGAGCCTCTGCCCGCATCTTGCTCCTGTACTTTGCAAGCCGCTGTGCCGTGAACGTGTGAAACTGCACATTTGCTGGCGTCAGAAGTGCCCAGCGTAATCTTTTGCGCAGCTTGTAGCATTCAGAAGGAGCTGTAGGGACGAAGGGACATAAGGGACACTTCTGCCCAGGCTTTTGTGAAGGACTTGATGCCTTCGGATGTGCCTGGCCTGTCCTACTCGCAGGAAAGCGAGTGCGAGGCTCTCCAAGCCTCCAGTAAACTCAAGGATGGGCAAGGAGCTGATTTGCTGCACTTTAGAAGCCGCAGCTGGGGTTGGCACGCGCCTAACATCTGTCGCACCTGGCTCCGCAAATTCCCCAGCTCGATGATAACTGCAACATCATACCAAGCCATCCAACACTTGAGGACGGTGCAGAACGTGGTCTGGCTCAAGAGTCCTACTTCTTGGTCACCTCCAGGAACCTCAGAGGTCGTCCCCAAAACTCTAGCCTGAGGCCCCAGGGACGGTGTTTTGCGTCCTCCCTGAGGCGCCAGGCTGGTCATAGATAATTTTGACGTAGCCCTGGCAAGCAAGCGGAGACGACGGTGGAAGCAGTCGGACTTGATGGCAGCTTGAAGTTCGAGGTAGAGTGCTCAAAAAGCCTCTCAAGTTGGAACGGGAAGAGCGTGTCCGGTTCTCATGTTTAAGTGTAACACGACAATTTAGCTTCTAGCCCTGACAAGGATTATTCCTTGGTACTTCTTCTCCTTCACTTCCCCGGCCTTCGCCAGCTCGGCGCCGTTCGCCACCAGCTGAGGCAAAGCTTGAGGTGGAGGTCTTGACTTGGGTCTCAATGAAGGCTGGGGCAGAACCTATGACCCGCTGCCGGGCTCAGAGCTGGGGGTGAGACCTGTAGGGCCTTCTAAGGCCTTGCAATACTTGGGTTGAGGAGATAGCTGGAGCTCCTTCCTGCCCTAATTTGCCGAGGCATGGCTACATGGCTCGTATTGCTGGCTTTGCTGTGTCTTTGGTATGGCTCTTTTAGGATGGTTCAAAGGGCAGTGCTGTCGGAGTCCAGTTGATGCCTTGTGCGACACTGGAAATAACTTCGTGAGAGAATGGCCCCGGCACCCGTGCAACCACATGCTCAGATGCTGTTCTACGTGCTGTTGTTGTTGTGATACAGAATGTATGCACAGGCACTGCATACATCTTATGGTATGGCAATGTGGAAGAGATGGAGATGTGCAATTCACTCTGTATAAAGGCTAAGCGATTGAGAGGTGCGTGTGTGTGTATATATATACACACACATACACGGTATACCTAGTAAACTGAATAAATAACCTAGCATAACAGCATAGCATAACCCAGCATAACATATGTTCAAAAAGGTTTAATGAATATGATATGAATATAAGTACATGCATGTGTATGTATGTATATATATATATGTATATATGTACACGTATTATACATACATACAACATACATACATACATACATACATACATACATACATACATACATACATTTTTGCATTTCCGTGCACTCAGAGGAGTCCGCCGCCTAATTAAAGCTTGCATAGACACTCTCTCATGGCCTTGAATGGTGCCGAGAGCGGGTGGCTCCAAAAAGACACTGGCGCCTGTACCACTGGGCTTTGCCCCTCCAAAAAGGCTTGCCAAGTCTGCAACAGTGTCGGCGGGAGCAACTTCAAAGGGTCTACGACCACGGCTATGTCAAGCAAACCACCTCTGGCAGGAGGCCACATAGCTTCCCAGCCCTCCTCCAGACTGAACAGTAGGTTGCTCGGGGTCCCGTGATCTCTCGAGAAAGCATTGATCTGCGAAATCCAGTCGCATCCCTCGCCAAAGGCAAAGGATGTCCTTGACACTGACTCCTCATAAACTGGCTCTTCTACAGGCGACCGCACTGCAAGCTGTTCAAGGATTCGCCTCACAGCGGATGTTGCCTGGGCATACTGTGCGTTGCTCCATGGTTGCAACTCCGAATCAGCTTGCAGCTCTGCTGCCTCCTTGAGAACCAGCTCAAAGGTTTCACGGATTTCATGCTCATACAGAGGATGTCGTCGCAATGCTTCCCACAAGGTGTCTAACAACATCTGCTCACTGCAGTCTTCAATCTCGTGCAGTGCCTCACAAACCTCCTCGTAGAAGATTTGTTGCCACTTGGGCCAGACAGTCGCCGTCTGGGTTTCTGAGGCATCACCATGTCTCTGTGGGGGGGCAGGCGTGAACTGCTCGACCTCCTTCTGTCGACGTTTCTTGCTACCATAGCCAGCCTGGATGTCCTCGGCAACAAAGCCACTGTGAAGGAGTGTATTCGCACAACTCGTTGAAGCTCGCAGGTGGTCCTCCAGCCGGCCAGTGCTCCAGTATTCAGTTCGGCATGCATTGCAGAATGTCCCAGTGACACATTGTCGATACAAGGCCCAACGACCATGGGTCTTGTAGAAGTGCGCTCCCAATCCTGCTTTGCTTTTGAAATCCTTGGAACACATAAAGCAGCGATGTAGCTTGGCAATCTTCTGAGTCTCCCTTTGTGCAACCGATCTGTACATGGTCCACAGGGTTACAGAGACCGCCTGTTGGCACTGATACGTCGTAAAGTCCTCCTGGTTCCGCCGTTTGGCCCTCCTTTTGATTCGGTCAGGGCTGTCACGGAGGACCTGGCACCAATGGGCCCAGCCACCAGCACTGACCTGCGGCCATTTTGCTTCCTCCCCAGCAACAAGCCACCTCAAATCATTGCACATCTGTGCCTTCCATTGCGGCTCGTTCTGAATCGCGATCGTCTGGCGTAGAAATCCAACGGCCAAACACCTGTCGCCCAATGTGCCAACGGGGTCGGGACCCGGAAGAGATCTGGTCCCTTCACCTCTCTAGACAGGATCCTGCGGACCAATCTGGAAAAGGCCTCACACATCCTGCTCCATTCGCTCCCACTTGCTATCCAAAGCGGGAGGTTGAAGTAGGTCGCAACCACCGCCGTCTGAAACACCGCCGCCCTTGTAGCGATGGCTAAGTCCCTGTTTTGCAGGAGGAGGTCCTTCGCAGCATCGTAGGCTGAGGCAGCCAAGGCTGTCCGATGCCTCCGCTCAGGGCCCCACCTCATGCCTCCATCGATAATCGCTCCCAGGTGTCTGTAGTGTCGGACTACTGGGATGGCTTCGTGGAGGTCCGGCAGAGACAACTCAGCACGTCCAGAGGAGAAAAATCGATGTCTGGCCTTCCGCGCTCCAGCACCAACCAGTTTCAGGATAATGCTCGTTTTATCCCGTTTGAGGTTGGGATCAAGCCCATGTGATCGGAAGAGCGACACGACAATCGAACTGAGTCGCTGGGCTCGCTCCAAGAGCTGCTCTGCCGAGCTCCCTTCGATGGCCCAAGCCGTGTCATCAGCCCAGGTCGTATCCCAAGCTTGTTGTGGCTCATCATTCGGAACATCGGCGAACGGGCCACTGGTACTGTCCCAGTTCAACTGGAAATTCAAGTCTTCACCTTCAAGAAGTTCATGAACCTTGTACAGAATCTTCGCGTAAATAAAGGAGAAAATAGTGTCGGCCCAAGAAGCTCCAGGCCTCGACCCAGCTCGGGACGTACACAACCTCTCTCCGCTCGTAAATCTTGTGATGGCCCATGTGTGCAAATGAAAATCCCGAACGGCAGCACATATCGGTTCCGGGATCTCCGCCTCATAGAACATGCCCCCACTGCAAACGAGTTCTTGTAACTCGCGAATATCCTCACCATCCAGGTTGAACCGGGCAAACAGGTACTCAATCGTGCTGTCCTTACGGATGTCGCCCACCGCAAGTTCCCTGATCAGCCGATAGTAGGCAGCCCTGCAGTCCACAAAGAGGACTGCCGCACTCTTTCCTTGCCGCTGGCATCGCCGAAGGTGCTGCGTCACAAAGAGCGCTGGAAAGAGGATCGGCACCTCCTTTTTAGAACCACAGTGAAGGGGGTGCAAGAAGGACTGTACCTGCGATTGGACCTTCCCTCGAAGTACCTTGTGTAAGGATTTTCCCAGAAAGCTGGAGATGTACAGGCTGCGATGGTTTGCAGCCTCCCACATGGGTCCGGAGTTCTTGTAAGCCTCGTAGAGGCACCCACCACGCCATTGAA